ATTAAATAATGTTCATCCATTTACAGAGATGAAGAAAAATATAATGTTCATATGTAGAATATTTTTTGCTTATCACATTGAGTAAGGACTAAATAATCTGGCAAATATATTTTCAATGAAAATGAGAGAAGGCCTTGTTTCCTCTTTGCCTTCCATGACACATGTCTTAGTCCATTTTCTGTTGTTCATAACAATATATCTGAAACTGGATATTTTATAAAGAAAGAAAATGTAATGCTCACATCTAGAGGCTGGGAAGTCCAATGTTGAGGTTGTGCAACTACTGAGGGTCTTATTATTGGTAGGGACTTTCTTCAGAGTCCTGAGGTGGTTCAGGTCTTCACATGGCAAGAGGGCAAGAACACGCTAAGCATTCTCTTCCTCTCCTTGTAAAGCCACCAGTCTACTCCCACCATAACCCATTAATCCATGGAGGGACTAGTCCTTTCTTGAGGGCATAGCCCTCATTGTCCAATCACCTCTGAAAGGCCTCACCTTTCAAATACCATAGTCGGATTTCCCACCCTGTTACAATAGGAATTACCTTTCATAAGGAGATTTGGAGGGGACATTTGAACCATAGCAATGCTCAAATAAAGAGGTCCATCTAATTTTGTGATGCTGCAAAAGAACAAGAGTGTGAAATGTAGGTGAGTGGGATAACCAGGCTTTAGTTTCTTCTATATTTCCCCCTTCCCTGTGTTAACAGTCTGAACTCTGTTGGTTATTGTCTTAGTCTGTTCAGTCTGCTATAACAAAATACCTTAGACTGGGTAATTTATAAACAATAGAATTTTTTTCTGACAGTTCTGGAAGCTGGAGAGTCCAAGGTCAGGATGTCAACAGATTTGGTGTCTGGTGAGGGCTTGCTGTCTGCTTCAAAGGTGGTGCCTTCCTGCCACATCCTCACATGGCATTGTGTGGAAGGGGCAAGGGAGCTCGGTCAAGCTGCTTTTATAAGGACAATAATCACTTTGAAAAGACACCACCTCTTTAAAAAAAAAAAAAGGAATATGTTTTTGTTTCTGGGTTTTTCTGTATTTTTATTGGTTATGAATATTCAGGATATACAAAGCTGATTGTCACCCCTCGTGCCCGAGATGTGAAGGCCAGATCCATACTGGCAGCATGCACCTTACCACAAATTGTGTTTGTACCCCATGTCCCCCACCAGTTATCTCCCACCTCCCACCCTGTCCCCCTTTAACCCCCCACTCAATTTTGTATCCCAAGGTAGGTTCTCTCCCTCTGCAAGTCCAACTCACCACTGTGGACTTTCTTTCCTTCGTTTAGTACTATCACATTAGGTATTAGGTTCCAACATATGAATTTGGGGAAGCACCAGCATTAAGACCATAGAAATTATTCATGTGAAAAAATTCAGCAAAATATGGAGTGTCACTATATGCAGCAGAGACATCAAGGCTAAGACCATTTTCTTAATGTACTGTGGGTTGTTATTTATATTGCTTTTATTTTACAAGGATTTTATATGCAGTCTACCGGAGAATAGAGATAGGCAACTCTTTTTGGCTCTTTTTTTGGATTTGGCCTCTTAAACTATAGACAATACATATTCAGATAATTTTTAAAAGCTACATTTTCATATTTTCTAAAGAATCTGACATTGGTGGGCGAGGTACACAACCTCTGTTTTGAAAGACAAATTGTAAAAGGGAAGAGGCTATTCTAAAATTTTTAAAATTTGAACTCCATTAAAATCTAACTGCGATTTTCAAAGGTGTTATTAAAAGCAATTTTAAAAATACTGGTTTGAAAATATTCTTATGTTGTAATCTAACATAGATACACTAAAAAATGTAAGTTGACACTTTAATTTGATTTTTAAAAATTTTTTTATTTAACACTCCAGGAAGTAGGAGTGGGTACAGACTTCATGACTAGAATCCCAAAAGCACAGGCAACTAAAGGAAAAATAAACACATATCAAACTAAAAAGCTTCTGCACAGCAAAATAAACAATCAACAGAGTGAAAAGACAACCAACAGAGTGGGAGAAAATATTTGCAAAATATTTTTAATTTATTTTTTTCATTGTACATTTTTATGGGGTACAGTTTGTTGTTTCAATAAGTGCATGTATTGTATAATGATCTAATCAGAAAGTTAGCATGTCTGTCACCTAAATATTTATCATTTCTTTGTCGTCATAACATTCAAGATCCTCGTTTCTGGCTATCTTGAAATATACAATACAACATTATTAGTTATTGTCACCCTAGGCCATCAGAACTTATTCTTCCTATTTATCTGTCACTTTGTAACTTTGTTCTAGTCAGCCCACCTTTCCTCACGCTCCCTCATCCCACCCCCTGCCTCTGGTAATCGCTATTCTACTCTCTATTTCTCTTTTTATTTTTCTTTATTGACTTATGATAATTGCGTATATTTATGGAGTACAATATGATAATTGCGTACATTCATACTGTGTGCAATGAGCATATCAGTGTGCTTAGTATATCCATCACCTCAAACATTTGTCACTTCTTTGTGTTAGTAACATTCGACATCATCTTGACTAGCTATTCAAAGATACATATACTTTGTTGTTAATACTTCCCCATAATACTATAGAACCTTAGATCCCATTTTTCCTATCTGTCTTAAGATTTTGTATCCACTAACCACCATCTTTTTAAAACAATGTGTCAAATATCGTTACACAGAGCTACACGAAAAGTAAAGGGAATGCATTGAGAAACTGATATTACATTTCACTAATCAATTGTTTTCAATTACTTGTTACCTCTGAGGAGTTCTTGTGAAGAAAAATACCTAGTGTTGGTCTTGTTGAACTTCCACAATTCTTTTTTTTTTAATATGCATACTGATGTTTTTGTATTCATGCAAATTTTTTAACTCTCCAACTCTATATATTAAGGGGCATTGCCATCCGAAGTAGCACTATATTTAAAAACTGATTTTATTTTTATAGCACTGAGTATTCTTTCTTTACACTGTGATGAATCTTGCTTTCTGCCTTTTATTTGCATAGGCAAAATCTTCATTTTTTGCATCATCATGTGTATTCTCTGCATATAATTAACATGAATTTTTTTTTGATGGTGCAGGGCTGGCTATTTGCCTCAGAATATTCCCCTGGAGATTATCAGATACCTGTCTGAAGAAAAGGATTTTCTTCCTTGGCATGCTGCCAGCCGAGCTCTTTATCCTCTAGATAAATTACTGGACCGCATGGAGAACTACAATGTCTTCAATGTAAAAATATACAATTTCTTCTTTCTAATTTTCAGAAGATAAACTATTTTCTTATTATCTACTGTATGCACCTGATCTTGAGTTATTTTAGTTCCTTCTAGTTTACGTTATTATTTTTGTTCTGATTTTCTATATAACACTGATGATAGTTATTTGAAAAAAAAATTTAATACAAGCTACCTTTTGTTCTGGCCTACAAGTGTCAATTAAGCTTAAATGCTTCAGAATTTAAGAACGAATATACATGGCAAATCCTTAAAGTTCAAACTTTAAGGATTTCCAAGAGTTAAAGGGCTCTGTGTTCACAAAGGACTTAACCTAGGTTAGAGAGATCCTGAAGATCTTAACAGAATATAGACAGTTTCAGTAAAGATTCTTAGTCATTATTTTTATCCAAAAGGGCATAGTGAATTCAATTCTCTTCCTTAATTAACAAGGATAAGATCAACATTGAGGCAAAGGCCCATTCATAATTGGGTCCAAGGGGATACAGGAGAGCAAACAACAGATAATCCAAATAGACATGAAGACATGACAAACATTCCAAAGTGTTACCTGACTAGATTTACTAAGCTCAAAGCTTGGTAAACCAAAATTGCACTGCTGACATCACCTAGTCTGATTCAATAATCATTCTGAATAATATCAGGATTAAGTACTGCTAATGAGCTTTGATTCCTAAATTTCTTGTCATTGTGTCTTCTATTGCCTTTGAGCACTATTTGTTTTCCTTTAGTTGTTTTAAGAACCTGCTCGTGTTTTATAAAATCACCCTGTTTTTTATGACATACTGACTCTGCTAATTAACCTGCACATTTGGAATTACTCAAAACTAGATTGTCATAACATGAAATCTGTTTATTAGAGCCATCTAAGTTGTATGATGATCTTCAGAATTGCTTACTTTTTTCTTATTCTAAAGCTTCAGGAAAGCACCTTTGTTTTAATAATTTTTTTAGAAAATAGAAATAATTCTGGCTTGGCCTTTCCCTGTTTTTAGTTTTGTCTAAGTCCTCATTACTGACAAACAAAGAAATGAGTCATTTCAGTTATGGTATAATTTTCATCCACCAGAGAAAGACTTATTACACTTCCTAACACAGAAACACTGCAATAGTAAACTTCTGTAAAAGTAAAATATATTTTTGTATATATTTATACTTTAGAATAGTTTATGATGTAAGATAGCTAATTTTCAGTAAAAGTTAAGAATTACTTTTACTGTACTTTCAGGGCTTTCACTTCTCTGACAAAATTCAACGACCACATAAAAATGAGGCAGAGCATATCTTACACTGACACATATTTAAATATATCATTAGCTGAATGGATTATTGGCTTTAAAATACTGTATTATTAAACTGAAGTGTTCTGTGTATCTCACCTTCAACAATGCTAGACTATTGGCTGGGCTAACATAAAATTTTTAATTAAATATGCTCTATTAATATAAATGAATAAATGTTAAATGCTCATTTTCTTTAAGTATATCTACATATATTTGCATATATGTGTGCACGGGCATCATTATGAATAGCCCTCATTTTCCTTATTTTGTTACAAAAATTGTCATCTAAAATATTTAATAGTGCAAATTATTTAGTTATTCAACAGGAAGAAAAAAGTAGATGTCTGCCATTCCAATAGTATTTTATTCTTATTTTCTATATTTGAACCCTCATTTTCCTTATTTTGTTACAAAAATTGTCATCTAAAATATTTAATAGTGCAAATTATTTAGTTATTCAACGGGAAGAAAAAAGTAGATGTCTGCCATTCCAATAGTATTTTATTCTTATTTTCTATATTTGAAATGCTAAATTGAATAAAATTATAATAGATCATTATTATGCCTATAATTTTACTAATATTTGAAAGTAGATACATTTTAAAAATATTTTAATTTTCTTATGGAATTTTAATTGTCAGTATAGAGAAGTTTGAAACTGATGTCTTTATTTCTCTTACCTCCCATTTAGGAATATATTTTAAAGCAAGTTGCAACAACGTACATCAAACTTGGATGGCCAAAAAATAATTTTAATGGATCTCTTGTTCAAGCGTCCTACCAACACGAGTACTGTTTTGTTTTCTTATTCTCTTCTTCCCCCCCAGACTGTACAATAATGTACTACTACTAGTACTACTGTGACTCTAGCAGCATGTGACAATCTTTCTTTCATTCTGCATCTTACGTTTCATTTTCCTGGGAGGACTGCTGCTGCATAGCATAGTTTCTACTGCCTGATACTAAGAACAAAGGCATTTCTTTGCTATGTTTTAACTTAAGATCTGCTTTTATATGTACTACTACTAGTACTACTGTGATTCTAGCAGCATGCGACAATCTTTCTTTCATTCTGCATCTTACGTTTCACTTTCCTGGGAGGACTGCTGCTGCATAGCATAGTTTCTCCTGCCTGATACTAAGAACAAAGGCATTTCTTTGCTATGTTTTAACTTAAGATCTGCTTTTATTATTGGCACTGAGATCAGAACACAAGCTCCTCATTGGAGTACTGGTTCCAAAGAAGACTTAGTATGTTTAACGTCCACTCTGCCTGATTGTTTTCTACTCAGTAGCATAGGATTTCCAGATCTAAAAACTCTTTTTGTGTTAATAATTTATTTTCTTATTATTTATGTAATGGGTTGCTTTGACTTTCTCTCCAGATATCAATACTACCTTTTAATTTTCTTCCCTTTTGATGATATCTAGAGAACTACGTAGAGAAGTTATAATGCTGGCATGCAGTTTTGGCAACAAGCACTGTCACCAACAGGCATCGACACTCATTTCAGATTGGATTTCCAGCAACAGGAATAGGTAAGTTGAACCAAATCCTGTATTTCTGATATTATTTAATCCTGCTTTCATATTCTGAGAGGATGCATTCCATTTATCAACTGGAGAAAAATGAAGCAAGAAGAAAACAGCAAAACTTTGTTCAAGTTCACAGCTTACAAGGCACAATACACTTACATTCAGCATGCTTTATTGAATTTTAGGTTAACTTTCTTAATCCAGGCCCTGATTTTTGTATATGTTAGGTGTTCTCTTATTTCAAGTTTTGATAGCTCTACCATCCAATAAGAACAAAATAGTTAAATTCAGTCCAAACTCCTTAAGGTTCTTTATAAAGGTTGTGATATTTATTTATAAAACAGTTACCAGCATATGTTATAAATGAAGTAACATAACAAATGTTAATATTAAAAACTAAAACCAGAAAGGTTATGAAGAGATGTTCATTCTTTCAGTGACCCTTGACAACAATGTTAAACTTGTATCTTATCTTAGAATTTTACAATACAGTATTTTAATACATAATATGACATTAAAATTATTAAATAGAATTGTTGTATGTAATGCCACTTGTTAATAAAAAGAATACCACACATAAAAAAAAAGTCAAAGATCATTGCTCTTCTTATTAGTGTTTTAAACTTTCTTAGGGTGTCTTTATATTTCCAAGGGCTTTTATGTCCCATTTCTTATTACACTTTAGGCAACTGATACTCACTCCTCTTCAGTTTCTGGCCTCCTTGTTTAACCAGAGTCAGAGGGGAAGGAAGAGGAGCTAGGTGGTCAGTTTCTTCAGATGATGCTATTTTGTGTGCCCCAAGGGGCTGGCTTGTCCTTGATATGGGTGACAGGGATGACCCCATGAACTTGTTCTGGATAAACATAAAGCACCACAGTCAGTATAACCAACGTATGAAATGAATTGATATTGACCTTGTTAAGAGTTATTTAGGTTTAAATTTAATATCTGACTCTAGATCAAAGGGTAGCTATTCTGTTTTAAAGGTCTCTGAGGAAAATCTTTCACTGCATTATTTAGTAATTTGACATAATATCTCACCTTCTGTAGCATTTTCTTTTTTGCCCTTTAATTGTTCCTGTTCTAGTACTAAGCTAAGAAGGAAAATATTTAATCACTATATCTGTCAATTGATCCATCACATATTTGAAGACAGTAATTAAATTTTTCATCAGTCTTCTCTATGTCTAACATGTCCTCTTGATCTAAAGGGTCCTCATTGTTTAAACTTTTACTAATAATTGTCATCTTTGCTAAATCTTCTGAAAACTGTTATACTGGTATTAGACCTGAAAATGTTATACAAACTTTTTTTTTAATTTTATTTTTTACCACCTTCTTCAGTTCTACCATGAATAATTACAGCATGGAAACAAAATTTATCTAAAATCACTACATCCAAAATTCTACTAAGATACATATTGTCAAAGTCAAATAAAAGATAGAAACAAATCTCTAAGAAAACATTTTGTTTGGGCAAAACAGGACTGTGCTCTGGGGCATACACACAGACCAGTGTGGTCTCCAGTATGTCCGAAGAACAAAGAAAGGGTTGGGAGTTTTATTACAGAGAGAAATGCTACATATAGTTTAGGTTAGGAAGAAAGCTCATTGGCACTAGTGAAGTTTTGGGGAATTGGCAAGCTTTTGACTTGTGAGTGACGGTGGTAAGTAGTCTTACACTCACAGCAGGTCCTTTTAGCAGCTAGTACGTAAAACTAGTCTTAGGGTTACGGAGGCTGTTTCAGCAGCTGAGCGTTAGAAGAATCTTCTTGGAGCAGTTGCTCTGTGCCCTGAGCGCTTTTTTCCCTCACCACTTGACACTGATTTAGTTTGGGTATGACAAAAATGACTCAATTTGTGTAACAAATGTTCACAGTATCACACATATGTATGAGAAAAAAGGATGAAATATTTGTTTAGAAATTGTAGTCTCTACTTCCCTACATTTTGTTTTCATTTGTTCTATTTGTTTTAGTTTTGTTTTGCTACAAACACATGCCCTTTCTCAGAGCTAGTAATTCTATTTAACCCTTTAATGAATTTACTCCTGTAAACGTATTTTCTTGCCATTTAATGAAAATGGGGTTTATACCATTGCATCATCATAATTTTTCTAGAGAACAATCAAGCCAAATATCACTGTCTACAATTAAAAAATATAGCTATTGGGAAAATGTTATTTTGAAAATCATTCATTTATCAAAATTTTATTGAGCAATTCTTAGTACCAGCTGGTAGCTGAAAAGCAAAGAGAAGAGATAGATTTCAAAATTAATAGAAGTTACACCTCTATACACAAATAGTTTTATTTTGGAGCAAGAATTAAGCACAAGATAGTGTGTGAACACCAAGAAGGGAGGGATTACTATCTTGGAGGAATCTCATTCTGACTCATAAAAGATGAGTAGGACTTTGCTAGATGGAAAAGGCAAAGCTGTAGACAGGGGTAGGTGTGTATAAATATATAAGGTGGGTGGATGGGGATTCCAGGCAAAAGGAAGGGCACATGGGTTGCCATTTAATTTAATAAGTGTAGTAATTTTTTACTTGTAAACTTGAACAATCTGTCACTTCATTATTCCCCTATTAATGAAAGCTCTTATATAAGATGCCAGCTCATTTTTGTTTTGATAACTCTGCCATTTATTCCTTGTAAAATAATTAAATTTGGGCCATACATTTTAAGTTTCTTTTGTCATTTCCTTTATTATTTTTATATTACCTCCTTTATTTTCTTTTGTGGCTGGGCAAGTAAACATACTAAGTAAAACTAACTGTGTTTACTAAGATTTGCTTAACCAGCCATATGACATGCCCCAGCATATTCAAGTGACCATCTGCAACAAGAGCTTGTGATACCCATGGAGCTACCTATATGTGAAGATCAAAGGTGTAATCTGTATTTTTTGGATGACAGTTTAATAATAAAACAATAATTCAATCCTGTATTTGGTGCTGAGTTTAACTTTCTTAAACTGAGTCAGTGAAGGGAAGAAGGAGATTTTCTTTTAAGTGTGCTTGCATCAGTAGACTAGTCATATACTAGTCAGCTTTGTTTGTTTCTTTTATTGTTATTTAACTGAAATCTTAAAAAAAATGATTTGCAAAAATCATCTAAAAAAGAACACTAGAGGTAACATAGTAGTTTACTTATCAAATGTTTTGGGAGATGTATATTTATTCTAATAAAATGTGATACCCATGGAGCTACCTATATGTGAAGATCAAAGGTGTAATCTGTATTTTTTGGATGACAGTTTAATAATAAAACAATAATGCAATCCTGTAGTTGGTGCTGAGTTTAACTTTCTTAAACTGAGTCAGTGAAGGGAAGAAGGAGATTTTCTTTTAAGTGTGCCTACCGCAGTAGACTAGTCATATACTAGTCAGCTTTGTTTTTTTTATTGTTATTTAACTGAAATCTTAAAAAAAATGATTTGCAAAAATCATCTAAAAAAGAACAATAGAGGTAACATAGTAGTTTACTTATCAAATGTTTTGGGAGATGTATATTTATTCTAATAAATCTAAAAAAACAATGAGTAATGGAAGCAGCATAATCTTGATGCTTTGGGGAGTTGGGTAAAATCAGTGACATTAGAATCCGGAAAATGGAATGGATGTGAAAGTTGGTGCAGGGTTGAATAATGGGAACAGAAAGTGCAATGAATAGCTAGAGATGGTAGCAGCAGAGAGAAAAATTTAAGAATTACAGTGGATGATAAATTAAGTGAGTTGACATTTTGATCCCTGTTAAATTATTCAGATGCTACAGTGTGCTGAATTGTAATGGTGATGTCATGCATAAAAACAGATTGAGCTACATTCAGGTCTCGTTAGGCTACAATTTGGGGACTAAGTTCAGCAGAATGCCACATTATCAGAAAGGAGACAAAATTGCCAAGCAGTGGGTAGAGAACTTAGTCCCCAAATGATAAAAAGATCTTGAAAACACAAACTCTTCTCATCATAGCTTGTGTTTTTCAAGACCTCTTTATCATTTGCAACCTGGAAATTTCACTCTAAAAAAGAGACAAAAATACATAACAAAGATGGTAACTTTTTTGTATGTATAAAAAGCATATTTAAGGGGGTAGATATTGGTTTCTTTCACTGGTTGGGGCAAATAAACAAGAAATAATAGGTCTAAGTTTTACTGATTAAAATATAGGGAATATACTGTTACTGTAGATGAATTATTATTTGAAAATCTCTGCATTAAAACACTATCTAGGCTGTACAACTAACTATACAGAGATCATAATATGGCTTTTGGCATTTTTCTCTAAGTAATAAAATTACTTAGAGAAAATAAATAAAATTACTTATCAAAAGTAAATGTGTCTACAATAATGCATTATTTATCAAATTCTGTTAAATGGCACAATTTAAAGCTTTAAGCCAATACAGAGCAAAGATTTAAAGCATTTAACTTGAAGAGTCAATCAATAGATAGTGATATCCATTCCTTAACATATAAATTGAACACTGGTGTCTTCTTTGTACTTAAAAAATACCCTGAAATAACACAACCCACACTTTGTTGCTCTGAGTTAAATGTGTCCCCCAAAGTTCGTGTATTGGAAACTTGACCCCCATTGTAACAATATTAAGAGGGTGGGAAATCTAATTGTAGTATTTGAAAGATGGGGCCTTTAAGAGGTGATTAGATTGTGAGGACTTGCTCTCGTGAATGGATTGATCTATTAATAGAGTAATGAGTGTGGTTCTGATGGCTTTAAGAGGAGAACAAGTGAGAAGGTCAGCTCTCTCTTGCTCAGCCCATTCTCACCATATTACACCCTGAGTTGCTGTATAGAGTCACAACACCAGGAAGAAGGCCCTTACTAGATGTGTTTCCTGGACTTTGGACTTCCCAGTATCCAAAACTGTAAGAAATAAATTTCATTCCTAATTATCCAGTTTCAGGTTTTCTGTTATAAGAAACAGAAAATGGACTAATACACTTGCACATAGTAAATGTTTACTGATTTGAGAT